AAGAAGACTTTATCCTGGATGGATTTCTACATATTGAAACAGCCCACATGTATGTATGTACAAATACTTTTTACCATATATATACTGTATTTGTTAAATCATATGTGTGGGGTTTCCCCCCCCCCCGCCTATTATTTCTGTGTACTTTTCATTTCTTTCACGCCTTCTCGGCGTCCTGTTTGTCCGGGTGCGCATGCGCGCCCTTTCGCGCGTGCACGTTTGTATCGCGTGCACGCTAGCTTCATTCGCGTGCACGCCGGGTCCGCGCGCACGCTATACACCGCGCATGCGTCTGGTCCCCATGAGGCAGTTACAGTGCCTCCTACTCGGAAGTAGCTTCCGGGTTTGTGCCGCGCATGCGCAGTTAACGAGCGGTGAATTCGCTCGTTTTGAGCATGCGCGGATAGGCGGTGACGTCAGATATGACGTCACACGCCTATTTAAGCGCCAAAGTTGGATTAAATTGTTACCTGATGTTCTCATTAGGTCTTTAGAGGACCTGTTTTCATACAGTTCTCAATTTGAATTGCGTTTAAATTTTACAGGAAAATCTGAAGGTAAGCTTTACTTCTTAAAGGTATATACACATTTTTTCATTTCTTTACTCCTTTCTTTCTATAACAATAAAAATTCCTTTTTTTAGACTGTTCATAATCAACTCCAAAATGGAGAAAGACAAAAGGAGATCAATTTCTTCTGATTCGGACTCTTCTGGATATAAAAATAGGTCACACTCTAAGAGTTATAGGTAAGCCATATCACATCATTTATTTCCTTTCCGGAATATGATACATGAAATAAAAGAGTGCTAATATGAGATATTTCCCTATCATGATAGTTCTACGGGAAAGAAAACAGTGAGATCATCCAAAGGAAAATCACCAAAGAAAAATCAATGCGAAGCCTGTAATAATAAACCGCTGGAAGGCAAACGGTTATGTGCAGAATGTTTATCTGAAGCGGCTGGAACATCTAATCCTTCAATGGAATTTGTACAGTTCATAAAACAAGCGGTGGCTCAAGGTATCAAAGAAGCGGGGGCAAGTCACAAAAGACCCCGGTTACATGAACCTTCGGTTAATGATTCGTCAGATGAATCCATGGATATGGAATCATACCAGGGGAATTTCTTATCTTCAGATGAAGAAGAAACTCAGGCCCCTGCAGATTTTTTAGAACCTGCTCAGATAGACCACCTCATTTACAAAGTCCGTAAATCTTTGAGCTTGAAGGAGGCAGTTGCAGAGCAGTCAACCTCTTATCGTTATTTCTCAGACTTGAGAAAGAAAAGAGCTACCTTTCCAGTGCATGATACTATTAAGGAATTAATTAAAGACGAGTGGTCTAACACAGATAAGAAGCTTTCAGCACAAGGCAGAATATCTCGCCTCTATCCTTTTGACAAGTCTGATTCATACCATTGGGATAATGCCCCTAAGGTGGATGCGGCAGTAGTTCGACTCGCAAAACATACCACATTACCAGTAGATGATGCAGGCTCATTTAGACACCCAATGGACAAAAAGATGGATCTGCATCTCTCAAAAGCTTATGTAGCAGCAGGGACTGGTTTTCACCCTGCAATAGCCCTTACTTCAGTGTCCAGGGCCTTAAAAATCTGGATCGAAAACTTGGAAGAAGATATCAGAGATGGGAGAAACAGATCTTCTCTTCTGGAAAGATTAAATGATATTATACTGGCCGTTGACTTTACCTCAGAATCCTCGGTGGACATGGTGAAAGCTTTAGCAAGAAACATGGCTCTTTCAATTTCAGCTAGAAGAGCTTTATGGCTGAGATCCTGGTCCGCAGATTCATCATTAAAGTCTAGTCTATGCGCCCTTCCTTTTCATGGTGAGATGTTGTTTGGTAAAAATCTAGACGAGTGCATCAAAAGAGCTGCAGAAGGTAAAAAAGCCTTTCTCCCACAAGACCGGAAAACCCGTGGATCCTTTCGAGCCAGAAGATACTCTGAATACCCCTCTTTTCGTGATACCAGATCTTATAAACCAGGAAGAGAATATGGAAGATCTATTCCATGGAGAGGAGGTCATTCATCCAACAGAGGAGGAAAGTCTAGAGGTTCCTCATATCACAAGAAGCCTTTATGACAAACCCACCTACCATTCTGGAGGAGTAGGTGCCCGTCTACTTCTATTCCAGAATATGTGGAAACATTCAACTCAAGACAGATGGGTGCTGGATATCATACAAAGAGGTTATCTTATAGAATTCTCCACAAGGCCGCCTCCTCGCTCCTTCCAGAAGACAATCTGGCCAAGAGATGTAGAAAAAAGAGATTCCCTAAAAAAGTTTATCTCATCCCTTCAAGACGATGGAGTTATCGTTCAAGTTCCAAGAGCTCAACGAACACATGGGTTTTACTCCCATATCTTTCTCACCAGAAAATCCACAGGGGAATGGAGACCAATATTAGACCTAAGCAGACTAAACAAGTTCCTAAACATAAGTAAATTCAAGATGGAGTCTCTTCAATCCATTGTAAAAGCAGTTTTTCCAGATCAATGGCTCATGTCAATAGACCTGGCAGACGCATATTTCCATATTCCCATAGCACCCCAGCATCAAAAATTCCTCAGATTCGCTGTAGAAGAGGGTCATTTTCAGTTCCGTGCTCTCCCTTTTGAGCTAAGCACTGCTCCGCGTACTTTCTCAAAAGTTCTGGTGGTTCTCATTGCAGAACTCAGGAAGAAAGGCATTGCAGTATATCATTACCTCGACGACATCTTGATTCTGGCAGAAAACAGAGATATATTAGAAGATCACGGCCTGATATGTATACAGTATCTTCAACAACACGGATGGAAGATCAATTTTGCCAAAAGCAACCTAAAGCCATCCCAGAGCATGATATATCTAGGAGCAGCATTCAACACTGCAGAAGGTTCCGTCCAACTATCCCCAGAAAGGGGTATGAAAATTTGGAAAAAGGTCAAAGACATGTTAGCATCCAGTGTTTCCTCAGCAGAGACAACTATGAGCCTCCTGGGATCAATGTCCTCCACCATAGGACTTACGAGATGGGCCCAATGGAGAATGAGGCCTTTCCAAAGGAATTTCCTTTCTCAATTCAAGGGCAATCTGTCTCAACCTATAGTGATCCCTCCTTACGTACAAGAATCCCTGAAGTGGTGGACCCAGAAAGAGTCTCTCTTCAGAGGTTATCCCTTAGAAAATATTCCATGGATCATCATCACCACAGATGCCAGTCAATGGGGCTGGGGAGCCCACCTTCAAGACAACTATGTTCAGGGGAAATGGACATTTTCAACCTCCAACACCCCTTCGAATCTTCTAGAACTTCTGGCAGTTTTCAAGGCTCTAATGCACTTCCAGCAACTTTTACTTCACAAATGGGTCAAGATCAGGACAGACAATGCCACAGTTGTG